AGGTGGTATCACTATGAAAGTAGATTGCCCAACTGTCCTTCTGAGGAGTGGCTGGTGGGTTTGAACTGCCAGCCTGCTGGTTAGCAGTCACGTGTTGTTGTTGTTGTTATGTGCCATCGAGTCAAACCCGACTCATAGTGACCCTCCTTGGGTTTCCGAGGCAGTCAAACCCGACTCATAGTGACCCTCCTTGGGTTTCCGAGGCAGTATCACTACGGAAGTAGGATTGCCCAACCTTCCTTCCGAGGAGTGGCTGGGTGGGTTTGAACCGCCAGCTCTCTGGTTAGCAGGCAAGTGTCTTAGCCACTATGCTACCAGAGCAGTCACATGTTGTTGTTGTTGTTGTTATGTGCCGTCGAGTCGGCCCCCACTCATAATGACCCCTCCTTGGATTTTCCGAGGCAGTATCACTACGGAAGTAGGATTGCCCAACCTTCCTTCCGAGGAGTGGCTGGTGGGTTTGAACCGCCAGCCTTCTGGTTAGCAGTCAAGTGTCTTAGCCACTACCAGAGCAGTCACATGTAGTCAGCCTTAAATGATGACTCCACTCTTCTCCCTAGACTAGGCATCCAAGCTTCAGAAAAAAATACTATTTCAGAAGACCAAGTCCTGCACTAGAAAAAGCCTGCACCGGAAGGTGCTTAAGTTCCAGGCCACCATCTGCATTGTCAACAGTCCTGCCAAGTTCAGCGAGGCAATCCTAACAGACAGCACTTCAGCTATTGCTTAAGGGCAAGCAGAATCAAGGAACAATGAGTGGAAATAAGAGGAATCTTCTTGTGGGGTGAGAGGGTAAGAACAGGAGAAATGTGAGGAAGAGGAAAGCTTTGCATGTGAGGCTGATGACTCACAAGGAACGAGCAGACATACACAATTTTCCACAATATTTGAATATAACAGAAGCCTTTTTCCCCTACTAAAAAAAAAAAAAAACCCAACCTCATTGCCCTTGAGTTGGTTCCTACTCATAGCGACCACTCCTTAGGTTTCCAAGGGGGTATCACTACGGAAGATTGCCCAACCTTCCTTCTGAGGAGTGGCTGGTGGGTTTGAACCACCAGCCTTCTGGTTAGCTGTCAAGTGCCTTAGGCACTATGCTACCAGAGCTCCCAATCTTCCCTATACCCAGTTTAAGATATTTTGCTGATTATAACTCAAAAAAACCACTGACTGCCATTGAGTCATTTCTGACTCATAGCGACCTCACTGGGTTTCTGAGGCTGTAAATTTTTACAGAAATAGATTATCCCCTTCTTCCTTCCACAGAGCAGCTGGTGGGCTAGAACTGCTAATTTTCCAGTTAGCAGTCAAGTGCCTTATCCACTATGCAAACAGGGCTCCTTTTTTTCTGATTATACTAGAAAAAAATTTTAATTAAAAAATAAAACCGAAGTATCACTCAGTGCACTAATTTAGCCTACTATAAACATGTCTGGGTATTCACTGCTGTTCTCACCGTCACCTGGGTCACAATGGGTTTCTGGTCACTGCTCAAGATGGTCTGCAAGCCTGTTCTGCACCTGCCCTTGTTGTGTGCCTCCCAGTCCATTCCTTCTCATAGTGACTCTACAGGGCAGAATAGAACTACCCCATAGGGTTTCCAAGCTGTAATCTTTTTTTTGGGAGGGGGGCCGGTAGTATTTGATGATATTAAGGATTTAGATTAATTTTTTTAAAAAAATGTTTATTGTGTTTTGGGATAAAGTTACAGAGCAAATTCATTTTCCATACAGCAGTTCATACACATTTTGTCTCATGGCACTGACTGTAATTCCCCACAATGTAACAGCTCTCTTCCCACTTCCTCCCGTTGTTTAAAACTCTTCCCTGTGTCTCCTTCCCTCCCAAGCACTCCCCACTCCCCCCACCCAGATACCTCCCTGTGCAAACACTGCCCTTCTGTTCCCCGTGATTGATAGCTCCAAGGAGTGTATCTACCAGATGTAACTGTTCACTCCATATGCCTATTGTTTGGCTGGAAGCCACAGGAGCCAAGCTGTAATCTTTATGGAAGCCGATGGTGCTTTTCGTCTTCGGGTGCCGCTTTTGAGTTCGATCCCTAGAGTTTTTGGTAAGCAGCTCACTGCTTCCCGCAGTAAAACGCCAACAGCAGGAGGTCGCCTAGGCTGATCCCACAATCCTCAGAAGGGGGGCGGGGCACAACTCAGCGCCTGCGCCCCAGCCCCTCTTGGGGTCACTGGGTTTGCTCCGGACGTCCTACCCGCCTGGCGTGGGCACCGAGCCCTCCGCCCCCTTCCCCTTTGACCCCGGAACTGCAGCTACCTCTGGGTCCCCACAGCGCCATCTGCCGCACCAGCTCGGCCCCGCCACTCCAAGCATCTCGGCTTTGCTCCCAGTGTGTGTCTGCGGCCTGGGTGGTCCTCGAGAGCAAGATACCCGCGCCGGGGCTCCGCTTGCTCGGGAATCGGAAGGAGAGATTTTTTTACACACCCACGGGGCACTGCTGCAGGGCGCCTCCACCCTGCCGAAGTCTGAGAGTCCAGCAGCAATGGGAGGCCCTTGTCTGGGGTCCAATTCTGAGTGTTGTCGTGCTGGAAATTCCCCAGCCCTTTTTCAGATGGGAGAGCAGAGCCGAAGAAATGAGACCTTACAGTGGAGGTATAGACACTTCGGTCCTTCGCCACCTGCACTGCGCTGCCAGCTGCCTTCAGTGGGAGCTGAGGTTTCCACTAGCCCACTCCCTATTCTTACACCATGGGCCGGCTCTGGCACCTGGAGGGAACACAAGCTTCAGCCTCACCAGACCTGACATCAGATCAGGCTCTGCCCCACTTGCTCGTTGCAAGAACTTGCTCAAGTTACTTATCTTCCTAAGCCTCCGATTCCTCCTGAGTTTATGTATTACTAAGGATTAAATAAAATCATCTTTATAAGTCACCCCACACCATGCAGGTGCTCAGTAAACCTGTGAATGCCGATCGGGAGAACGACTTTCTCCTAGAATTAAATCCTACCAGTACCAGTTGCCATCATGTTGATCTCTGCTTATGGTGACCTCGTGTGTCAGAGTAGAACCGAGCTCCATAGTTTTCAGTGGCAGAGTTTTCAGAAGTAGATGGCCAGGCCTTTCTTCCAGGGAGCCTCTGGGTAGACTCCAACGCCAACCTTTCAGTTAGCAACCCAGGGTCTAGGATGCTAACACTGCACCACACAATGGGAAGGTCTCCTGGTGCAATTTCAGAAAAGATGTGGGAGCATTATTCAGTGGTTGTGCCTTTTACTGAAATGTAATGAAATATTAAGTGGCAACTCTGCTACAGTGAAAGAACGTGGGGTGTTAGACTAACAGATTCCTGGAGTAGGTTGTGTATGGTTTGTTCTATGTCCTGGTCCAGTGGTTTTCACATGACTATGATCTAATGTACTATAGGTTATAACAGAAGGGACCACCACTGATAACTTATGTACTGATGTGGTCTGAAGTCCATATCCCAGGGAAAAGAAAAAAAAAAGGTCTTACTACTTGAGTGGTTCTTGTCTATTCCACTTGCACACACACCTCCAGCCCCTACCCTGTACTTAACTGGACTCCCAGTCAGGCCCTGTAAGATGGGCTGACTCCCCCACCCCATCCCTGCTGGGGAACAAGACATCCTACTGTTGCTGCCAGTAGTAACACTTGGAGGTGCCCTCTGCGATGGAAGCATCATGTAAACTGGTCATTCCTCGCCCTTGAATCCTCTTTACAAGTTCCCTTGATCTAATATTTTTAAAAATACAAATAGTATTATGCAGAGGCAGGATGAGTATAACTAAAACAGCAGCACCTATGAACCCCCATCTCTCTTCTGGGCCCGCAGTAATGTCCACATTGCCTTCTGCTCCTCAGTCCTACTATCTCCCCATAGCCAAGGTGCTAGTCTAGGTACACAGGGGAAGGGGACTAACTACAGCGTGAAAATATGAGTTGCATTACTTAAGTTAGCCCAGGCTCCTGCTGACAACAAATGGTCAGTGGAGCAGTCCTCTTAGCTACCGCCTAGAAAACAGCACAGCTGAACACAGTAAGTAACACTTGCAGCTACAGAAACCTTAGCCACATTTTCTTTCTTTAGTCCTTCAAGTAACACACAAAGCCATCTGAGTTTACTCATGATGTGGTCTAAAACTACTTCTCTGAGGATGGGCTCTTTCTAACCATCTCGACCTCCTGAGAGCAATCTTAAATCTTCCAGGCAGGCACAAGAATTGTGCATGTGAATAGGCATGTGGACTACGTGTCCCTGTGAATGCAAATCACTATAGAAGCCAAAACAGAAGGGGAATGGAACCACTATATAAGCAAAAACACAAGAGGAATTGGGGCTGATTTCTCACCATCTGGGTTACTGTTCTCCCCACCTGTGCTGGCTTTTGAAAAACTTGAACAAAGTTTGGGATCAGGGCTCTCCGCTAAGCACTTCTGAGACCTGTTCCTTCACCACCTCCTCCTCTCCTCTACTTCATTTTCTAATCCCTCATTAAAAATGGGCATTAAAAATTGTGCTGTGCTATTTGAGTTTATGCTCAGTATATTACCAGCTTTAATATTTGCTATTGAATAGAGAAGAAGGAGAAGTAATACTTATCTCCTGTGCCTGGGCGAAAAGTACTACAGCTTATAAGGTCAGTACTACAGCCACAGCACTCAGCACAAAGGAAGACCCAGGAAGTGCATGGGATGCTGTATGTGGGAGTGAGGGTAGTGGGGAGGATACCTCCTTCCCAGCAGAGTCATTCTGCTAAGTAGTCAGGGCTACCACTGCCAACGTGGCCACAAGACCCCCAGAGAATTCCATTACAGAGCCTAGAAAAACACTTAATACACACACACATACACAAGTTGTGAACCAAGAATGTCAAAATGAGGCCCTTTATTTCTGAACTGTCAACACTACACTAATAAGGTCACTTTGGGTTACAGGCACATTACCAAGCATCAGAGGAAAAGCAGGTGGGTAGGAAAAAAGAGAACAGCTACAATCAATGACTCCTCTTCCTTATGGAGAGGAGAACCGGCCACAGAACAGAATCTCATTTGTCTTGCTGTGCTGGATGAAGAAGAGGAAAGGGTGATCAGCACAGAATCGGGGGGTGATCCTTATGCAGCGCATCATCATGATGGCAGCGGTGGCAGCCGCTGCCTCTGTGCCTTCCTCATTGACTTCTACAAAAGACTTGTGCACGACCTTGGATAGATACAGGTCTCTCTTAGATGACATTCCAGAGAAGTCTGCCTTGCCCTGGTCAAAGGCATCGGTCATGCCTAGACTGCAAAGGACATCCTCCATGTCATAATTCTCCTCCAACTTGAATCTAGGAAGGAAGACTTCTACCTCTTCCTCATCCAGCATATCAGGCCTTGTCCATTCCATGAATTTCTCATAAGTAAGTTCTTTTTCCACCTGGAAGGAGAGAGGTGAAGATTTTAAGATCTGCAACAGTTCTGTACAGTAAGATTTTCTGCTATGATGTTAATGGTATTGGACCACCTATGCTGTCCAATATGGTAGCCATTATTAAAAGGTAAGGAGCTCTGGTGGCACCAAGGTTAAGGCAGTCAGCTGCTTATCAAAAGGCTGGAGGTTCGAACCTACCAGCCACTTTGAGGGAGAAAGATGAGGCAGTCTGTGTCTATAAAGATTTACAGCCTTGGAAACCATATGGGGCAGTTCTGACTCAGAATCAACTTGATGGTAGTAGGTTTTGTTTCTGGGTTTAGTCAAATGTGGCTACTGAACACTTGAAATGTGGGTAGTACAAATGAAGAACAGAATTTTTTTATTTTATTTAATAAACTTTAAATAGACCTATATGGTTATGACTATTGTATTGGACAGCTCCAGAAGAGAGCACAACAATGCTAAACCATTTAACTGTTGTTTTTGTTAGGTGCTGTCAAGTTGGCTCTGTCATAGCAACCCTGTGTACAACAGAAAGAAACACTGCCCAATCCTGCGCCAACCTCACTATCCTTGCTATACCTGAGCCCACTGTTGTAGCCACTGTGTCAGTCCATCTCACTGAGGGCCTTCCCCTTTTTCGCTGACCCTCCACGTTACCAAGCATGATATCCATCTCCAGGGGATGGTCCCTTCTGACAATATGACCATGTAGGTGACACAAAGTCTGGCCATCTCACTTTCAAGGAGCATTCCAGTTGGACTTCTTCCAGGACAGATTTCTTTGTTCTTCTGGCAATCCATGGTACTTTCAGTATTCTTCTCCAACACCACAACTGAAAAGCATCAACTCTTCTTTGGTCTTCCTTATTCACTGTCCAGCTTGCACATGCATATGAAGCTACTGAAAATACCATGGCTTGGGTTAGGCACACCTTAGTCTTCAAAGAGACATCTCTGTTCTTCAGCACTTTAAAGAGGTCTTTTGCAGCAGATTTGCCCAGTGCAATATGACTCTGACTTCTTGACTGCTGCTTCCATTGGCGCAGACCATGGAACTAAGCAATATGACATCTTTGACAACTTTAATCTTATCTTTTCTCTATTTATTGTGATGCTGCTTATTGGTCCAGTTGTGAGGATGTCATTTTCTTTGTGTTGAGGTGTAATCCATACTGCAGACTGTAGTCTCCAATCTTCATCAGTAAGTGCTTCAAGTCATTTTCACTTTCAGTAAGGAAGGTTGTTCATCAGCATATCTCAGGTTATTAATGAGCCTTTCTCCTTTATAATAATACATCAGACTGTTTCACTGCTATTCATAAGGTTTTCACTGGCCAATTGTCTGAGAAGTGGATGGCCCCTTCCTTCCTTCGAGTCTGTTCCACTGAAACCTGTCCACCACCTGTGACCCTGCTGGTATTCGAAATACTGATGTCATAGCCTCCAGCCTCACAGCAACAAGCAAGCCACCACAGTGCAACAAACTGACAGACTAGTGGTGGTAAACCATTTAATTAGAAGATGGTTTTACATTTCTACCCTTGATTCTTTAACTCCAAAAATGCAAATTTGTTTCCTCAGGCAGAAATTTACAATAGGCACAGGTCTGACTCCCATTGTGAGAGAAGGGCTCTCCTCTTACAGTCTGATGTTCTATCTTATTGAAAGCATAATAAAGTGGGATATCTCAAATTTGATCTTTTTCACTCTGCCTCCTTCCAATGAATCCAATTATGTTATGTTGATTGAACTTCCAAAAAGAGAGCTCCACTCTGGCCTTTCCTCCAACTCCATGGCTACTGCCCTCAGTCAGGCCTTTGTCATGCTTGTACCTTTCTGTTCTATCTTCATCTCTCTTCCGTCTTTTCTGTCAATTCATCCATAGCATCCATAGGATTCCCTTTCTTAAAAAGCAAAATACTCTCCTGCATAATCATCACTGATTCTCTACAATTTTGCTGAGAATCCAGGGGCCAGCAGGCTCAGCCTCACCTGGGAGCTTCAGTATCTGCATTTTTTAAAAGATCCCCAAGTGATTCATATCAGAGTTAGAGATGCTCTGCCACAGAAGTGCTTTCTGCCGGACAAAGCCAAAACCATCTAGGCAGGTTGGGAAGAAGACTACTAATCTTTGTCATCGGCTTACTCTGCATTATTAAACAAAGGCATTATACACACCATCTAATTCTCCAGTAGCCCTCATAGGCAGCACTGTCACCATTTTCCATAGGAGGAAACAGCCCACGAGGAAAAAAAAATCACCTTCTAAATCTATAAAGCAGAACACCTGGCTCAACCCCAGCCTGAGTCCTTTCCAAATAGCAGCATTTTCTAAAGTGTGTTCAATATTCAGAATACCACTCCCACTGGACATAACTGGGTGTTACAAGAGGAAAGGGCATGTATGCTAAGGAAATACTGGTAAAAGCACAACTTAAAATGTTTCTTCCCTGCAGGGTTTGTCAGAACCTTTAATATGATAAAACGTACACTCTGAATTTCCCAGAAGAAAATATGTAGCATGTAGTCTCAAACTTATTACACCAATGACACCCTGTGTTTGAGGAATATCCTGACAATCTCGAATCTCAAGGAACAATCTTTGGGAAATGTGGTACGATAACTCACTGCCTCTAAGGCAAGGTCTCACTCTGACTCTAGCCTATCCTTTCAGCTTCTCCTCCTACGCCTCACCTTCTGCTGTTCTTCCTCCTTGGCATCCACTCCACTTGAAGCCTCTTCACACACTCACTTCCCACGATGGCCTCTCTGCCCACTTTCTGCCTCCTGAGCTCCACTTCTTTCAACAACAGTTCAAACTCTGAGATAGCTCTCCTCTGTGCATCCCACTTTGTCTGCACCTCCACCACTGCACTGGACACCCACACTGTAATTATTTCTTTACAGCTCTGACCTTTCCATATTACTCACATCACTATGGTCTTGAGGACATCATCATTTTTTAAAAAAAGTTTTTTTAAAGAATCTTTTAAATTAAAAAAAAAAGAAAGAATGTTTTAAATTACAAAAATAACACAGGCTCATTGGAAGAGATGTAGCAAGAAAAAATGAAACTCTCCTTTCCAAACTCTTCTTTGCTCTGAACTTGAAGGGATCTGTGATTTGTTTCAGTAAGAAAAGATCATAAACAAGATTCATTCTTCAGGCTTCACCTTATTTCTATTCTCTGATCAGGTAAGGAAGGCCAACTGTACCTCGAATGAACAGAATTCCTCCCACAACACTGCATTTATTTATCTCAAAGCAGTAAAATTGAACAGTTTTCAAAATATCTTTAAAACAGTATTAGCTTCTCTTAATGTAACTATTTTTTACAGAATGACTAGGGTCCAATGAATGAGGAAATGAAGCACAATTAACAGTAAGTATCAAGTTAGAACTAGGCTGGGAAACTTTTTCCTGAAAATATTTACTCACATCTCTCTGGCAACCATCAACAGGTTCTCACACTCCAAGAATTCCCCTCCCTGGTACCACCCCTTTTACCTCTGAGTTCCAGAAAGTGAATACAAGGAAGTTTGCTAGCATTAGAAGTTACTAACTGGGAACCAGGGAGAGTGACTATAGCAGAAATCCAGTGTCATTCTCTTTGCATGATAGCACTGTGCTACCATCAAAAATCATCAATTGCTTAACACTCCTTACCATGCTCAAATCGGTATTTTCATCTGGAAGCATGATGATCATATTCAGCTCTTTCTTGACATAGGGAAGCACTAGAATTTGGGTAAATATTTCTCCTATATAGGTAATTTTAAAGGTAGATTTCTTAAACATCATTTGCACAGGTTTTTCCTCATTCTGTAAAGGACATGGATAAAAACATTACATTGAAACATGACCCAGTTGACACACATTGAACATATTCAACAGAGTTGGTCACTCTACCCCTGGAACCACTTTTTTACCTCCCCTTCTAGAAACCCAGATCCCCCACTCCTTTGCCATCTTGTCTTCATTAACTCTACCTCCAAACCCCCGGCACCCAGGGCTCAATCCTTAAACCTGTTTTCCCTGGTAATCTCATCCAGTCTACTGACTTTAAATATTCATATCTATAGCCCAACTTCTCTCCTGTACTCGAGACTCCTAGATATCACTGCCTACTTGACCTTGCACTGGACATGGAAAAGAACATTCCATTGGAACACAGAGCTCCAAGAAGAGATACGCTTGCTAGGAGACAACAGGACAGTGCATTTCCCAATAAGGCTCAAAGGATGTGTTATTTCTTGAGAAACTGAAGGCTCAGGCTCAAGTCTGCCTTGAAGATCCAACTCCTGGTCAATGATCAAGAATAGGCTATGACTAATCTATTTTGTGTATTTTGTGTGTTTTTGTGTAAAAACCCTCTACAATTAAAGTTAAACAAAAGAAGGAAAAAACTGAATTGCTATCTTCGAAGCTGGAGGAAGCTAAACTCTGTGTCAATCCTTGGGTTCACCTGTTTTTAAACTAAACTCTGTGCTTCCAATTATCTTTTCTAAAAAAGAAGACTATAGATTATTCATCTCTTCAATACTGATTAAGCACTATGTGGCAGAACTCCTAAGAGAGCAGTCTCTGCCCTCAAGTAGAGTTCTGCGAGTGGGGTAAGGAACACTGCAGTGCTCTTGTGGAGACGGGTCAAGGCACTGTGAGGCCCAAAAGGAGGGGCATGGACACCAGACCCAGAGAAGAACAGTCAAGGAAGTCTTCCAGAGGAGCCCTGGTGGAAAGGAGCAAGCAGGGACTGATGGGAAATGGTGATGGAGATTAGGGTGGAATAGACTACAAAGGACACACAAGACTGAGGAGTTTGAACTCTATCTCAAATACTTTGGGAAGGAAACCAAAGAAGACTTCATATCTGAGAACTATCTGATCAAATTTGTGATATAGAGACAGATGACTCAGGGAGCTGGTACAGAGGCCTGGGGAAGGGAGTCACCTGTGATGAGATACACAAAAGAGAAAGTTGAGCAAAAAAGTTGGTTTGTCAGGGAGTGCAGCAGCTCAGCTGCCAAAGCAATACCTGTAAAGTAAAAGTTACTAGAGGTTAACCTTCCTGCATGTTTTAAAAACCACTATGAACACAGGGACTATGTCCAAGAATCTCTTTTGTTATTGCAAAATACTCACCTTGCTGATTTTAAAAGGTGTTTCCTTGGTATGTTGTTTGTTAAACTGATTATCCCAGTTTCCTTTGAAGTAGATGGCATTCACGAGAACCAGTTTAGTCATTGAATTAACTGTACCTGAAGGCAGCAAGTCTGTAATTTTACCTGAAAAGTAGAATAGAGAAACAGTTAGCTAGAAGCATTCTCTGATTCCTGCATCAGGACTGAGGTCCAAGTTGGCCATCCCCTATAAGAGTCAAGTACACAGATGAAAAGATTTTATGATCTCCAAAATATCACCATATAAAGAGACATCTGTCCTTAAGACAAACAGCCCTAGTGGTGCAGTAGTTAAGTGCTCGGCTGCTAACTGAAAGGTTGGTAGTTTGAATCCACCAGCTGCTCCATGACAGAAAGATGTGTCAGTCTGCTTCTATAAAAATTACAGCCTTGAAAACCTTACATAGAGTAGTTCTTCTCTGTCTCATAGTGACAGAATTGACTTGATAGCAAGGGTTTCATGGGTCCTTAAAACAACAAAAACAAGAACTTGGAGTATCCAGCTTTGATAAGGAAAAATACCACAATTTGAATAAAACACATCAAATGAACAAGTAGATACTAATATGTGCAGGGTACATCTTGAGAGGAAAAAGAACAATTTATGACTTAAAGAAAGGGATTTAAAGGGTTGTCAGGAAACTGTGAGAATGTAACAAGTATATAACAGTTTAAATTAAGGGAAAGGAGACAGCTTGGGGAAGTGTCCTGAGGCACTGGGTGGGTGTATATGCTACAGAGACTGGTGCAGGAGACCTCTCCAGTCCCTCAGTGCCCGTTTTTCTTTATGCCAACTGTGAAAAGAAAGGCTATACTAATTATTGTGGATTTAATTGTGTCCTGCAAAATATGTATTAAACTCCTCACCCTGTACCTGTGAAGGTAATCCTGTTTAGAAATAGGGGTTTCTTTGTCATGTTAATGAGGGCACAACTAAGCAGGGTGGCTCTTACATCTAATCACTTCTAAATTATAAAAAGAGTAGAAAGACAAGAGATACACTAAAAGACAGACAGCAAGGAACCCAGGGGACTACCAACAAGAAGGACCTCCCGCCTAGTGTAATGCCTTGAACTAGGACTTCTAGCCTTCTGAACTGTAAGAAAATAAAATAAATTAATTTCTGTTCCTTAAAGCCAACCACTTGTGTTACAGCAAAAAAAACAAAAAAACCTAATTGCCATCAAGCCCCATGTGTTACAGAGTTGACTATGTTCCATAGGGTTGTTTGTTTTTTCAGCTACAATCTTTAACAGAAGATCAACAGGCCTTTTTTTCTTGGCCCCACTGAATAGGTCAAACCACTACCCTTTAGGTTAGTAGGCAAGTACAAACTATTTGTGCCATCCAGGGACCTGTGTTATAGCAACACTAGGTAACCAAGACATTAATATCAAGCAAAAAAAGAAGTATGAATATTCTGGAAGAGGCTACCAAATATTGTGAGACACCACAGAAACTTTTATGAGAGCAGGGAAAAGCTAGAGAAAATGTCATATGCTGACAATATTTCAGAAAATGTCAAATGTCATATGACAATATTTTAGAAAATGTATGTTGACAATATTTTAGAAGTATATTTTTAAAGTTTACAATTATTTAGAGAAAAGAAGTCATTCTTGTTTACATTTAACAGTTTGTGAAGGAATGAACAATAAGAGTTATTTAAGATATGATTAAAATAGGATAATAAAATATTTCACCTTCTGTCTTACTGGCTACCCATGTGTTTATGTGTTTTCTGGACTCCTCTGTAGCATTAACAAAGTCAAGCTCTTCCATCTCTGCTTGGTAGAATTTGAGGCAGGAATCTTTAAAAGACTAAGACAAACAAAGCAACATCATTGCACAGCTACAAACATAATTAACACCAAGAGTTAACTGCATCAAATTAGAACAGCAATCATTTCATGATCTACAAATATAATTTACAAACAGATACGAGGAATTAACCTAAAGACTGTTGTTGTTGTTGTTATGTGCCTTCGAGTCGGACTCGACTCATAGCGACCCCTCCTTGGGTTGCCAAGGCAGTATCACTATTGTGATTGCCCAACCTTCCTTCTGAGGAGTGGCTGGCGGGTTTGAACCATCAGCCTTCTGGTTAGCAGTCAAATGCCTTAGGCACTATGCTACCAGAACTCCCAACCTAAAGACTAAATACCTAGTTTTTCAGTTATACTTAATCTTCTGCTTATAAACAAGTGAAAGAGTTGCCTGAATATCAAATGACCTTCATGAAATGCTGCTTCCTTTTAGGGAAGAGCTGTGTCCATAGGATAATACAGGCACTGAGCTGCTGTAATTAGTCTGTTATTTCTCTGAAAAACCACTGCACAGTAAGAGAGACAGCTCCCTCTACATTTCAGAACAAGATTTTTGTTCCAGAAATAATGTGGGGAAATATGGAACTCTAGACCAGAACTTTCTCTGATGATAAAAATGTTCTAAGTCTGTGCTTGTTCAATATAGTGCCACGTGTAGCTCCTGAACACTTGAAATGTGGCTGGTGCGATCAAGGGTCTCAATATTTAATTTTAATTAATAACACTGAAATTTAAATAGCTGGTGGCTGCCATTTTGGATGGCTCAGTTATACACTGTAATCAACTCTCAAAAATTCTAAGTTCTGCCTCTATCTTGTTAATATATGCTATGCAATGATATCTACATTATTCCATGTAAAAGCAGAAAACCTGGTGGACAGCAAGTGAATTGAAATAGCTATGTACTGACAGTGCGTTACGGAACCGTTCTCCAATATTTCTTTCAAACAGTTGAGAGCTAAATGTTTAATCCCCCTGTGGTGTAGTAAATTACTTAATGTGGCTTTTCTACCCATAAGTCTTTGTAAACTCCAAGGTGGGATTTTCTATGAGCAACTGAGGAGCTCCTGATTGCTGAAGTTGTCCACCTGGAGTATTTCTGTTGGGAGTAAAACAAAACAATGTTCTGGGAGGTGCCCAAGCTCTCTCAGGT